ATAATTTGAAACTTAGTTTTTACCTTTATTTTGAATGAATCAATATCGATTCTCCCAGATCACCTCCTGAGCCTACTCACTCAGAGAATCATCAGCATAGAGAGTGAGATGAAGGCGATGAGGAGCTCAACAGCAGACCTGTATGAACTCTATGCTCGTGCCCTGGGTGATGGGACTAGTCAGCGAGTGGAGGAGATGAGTCTTGATGTGTGTGGCACTATGGAGGAACTCCTCTCTCTCGATGAAAAAATGAAAGAGGAGACATTTCGGAATAGAGTGGTATGTTAATTGTGAACTCTCCGTGAAATGCAAAAGAAAGTGTTAGAATTAAGTTAAATAACAAAAGTTATTACCATTTTGAAAATGTATTCCATCTTGTAGATACACCATTTAAGTCTTGTTGGAGGTCCAAACCCTGGGGAAAACACCCGGCGGGTGATTCGGGCACTGGCCTCCTACAGTGTCTGGAAGGAGTTCAGTCTCAAGGGGAAGAAAGGGAAGAGACCACTGCAAAACATGAACATTATGAAGGTCATAAAAAGTAAGTACAATATGTTAGTGACTCAAAAAACCTGTATTACCAACGATACAGTACTGTTTACCAGTACTTGAACCACTGCATTATCACAGAACTTAATATTACAGAGGCAGTGACGATGTCCAATCCTAGAATCCAGCAAGCAACAGTGGAGGACATTGTGGCAGACACACTTAAGCATGCTCCAGCAAGGTGTAAGAATGTAAGCTCCTTTGGTGCAGTTTTCTGTAAAACAGATATTATCACATTATATTCTAATTATATCGTTTAAAAAACGGAGATAACACGTTCAGTTAACTTAGTAAAAGTAGAAAAAAATGTTAAGTTGACCATTTAATCACTGGTTTGATTTACTTAAAGAACATCTGACTGCACATGTGAGTGGAACATTTCACAGTCTGTCGTTAGGTCAGTACGGCTTAGGTTTGAATTTTAACTATTCCAATTTTACTCATTCAAATGTAACTAATGTACAAAAGTTTGGATCTCGTGCTAAAAGCTAACAACATGATTATAGCGCATCTCACCTACATGATTATAGCGCATCTCACCTCGTCATAATTTACATATAGTTGACATCTAACATTCATAACAACAAAACAACATTCATAACAATAAAATATTAAAATGAAAGATATGATTAATGGTTACTCACATAGAGTGCAGCTGGAGTTTTTTTCTTATCCTTCAATAACTGCCGAACAACCGTCAGTTCTTCTTCATTTGGTTTAACGCACGGCGTGCGCGTCTGTGAATTCGCCTATTTCTTCCTATAAGACGCGCATTTAATATTTAAACAGTCTTTGTGGAGTTTACAGACATTATTTGCTGGGAAGTATTTAATGAAAAAAAAAACGATCAAAACGCAGGGACACGTTATTGGTCCCCAGGCGGTTAATTATAGGCTACAAGCTTGATAAAAATGATCATTCCAAAAATGATCATTCTAGAAGAAAATTTCAAATGGCACTTATAGAGGCTTTTGCATCTGAACTCTTCATCTAGGCTATACATGTATGTATAAAAAGTTTAAATGAAAGTCAAAAAACATTTTTAGTCATACCTGGAAACAAATCCTGATCAAATAGGTGCCATTTAGAATTGGTTCAAACTAAGTTAGAGTTTAAAACATCTTGAAAAGAAAATCATACAATGTAAAAAATATTTTCAAGATTTGTTATCACAACATATTTTCTTTTGTCAAATCAACTTTATAATAATTTATATAGTTCAGATAACTTATTATTTTGAGTTTCCGATGGTTAAATTAATCTACTTCATTGTATTAACTCACTTTTTCCAGTTCAATCAACTTAAAATTTTAAGGCAACCTAGGTTACTTACTTTTTTAAGTTAAACCAACAATATTTTTTTACAGTGTAGTAATCACAACATTTTTTCATTTGTCAAATCAACTTAAATAATTTATTTAGTTCAGAAAACATATAATTTTGAGTTTCTGATGGTTAAATTAATCTCCTTCATTGTATTAACTCACTTTTTCCAGTTCAATGAACTTAAAATTTTAAGGCAACCAGGTTACTTACTTTTTTAAGTTAAACCATCAATATTTTTTTACAGTGTATGAGCAGAAACTCTAACAGTCTAAATGAACGTTATACGTTCCTTCACACACCCGAATCATATTTAAACACACTTTTTGGTTATACATAGGCCTAACTAATGTTATCTTACTAATGTAAGCATGTCGGAGCGAAAGTGAATTAATGGCGGGTTGCAAGCGAACATATTTACAGTGATGGAGTGTGAAGAGAACTAGTTTTCTCACGTAAAATTATTTTTTAATCCACTAATCCTAATAAATCCACTAATCCTCAAAATCACTATTGCATTTATTTGTTTCCTGCATTTGAGTAAATACAATTACTAGATTTATAGTAGGCTATATTTAGTTAGAAACCATAATTTTAAAGAAAGAATATTGACCAACTGAATCTAACATTTGATTTCAACAAATGAAAAATCAATGGAAAAATTATGTGCAATTAATTGTATGACATAGAAATATACTTTTCATTTTGCAGCAGCAGGAACAGAGAAAAGGTGTGCAACGTGAAGACAATGATGAAACACTCCTCCTTTTTGAAGACGAATAAGACTTTTTTTTTTTTTTATTATGATTGGTTTTCATTATTTTTCCCTTAAAGTAAAATCAGATTATTAAAATGAATGTATATGCCAAATTTTAATTTCTCAATAATTTTGTAAAATAACTTAAAATGTGTGTGTGTGTGTGTGTGTGTGTGTGTTAAAAAATATATGTTTATTTATTATCTTACTGTGGAAAATGTAATTAACTAACTAACTAACTGCTGATTAATAAATTATATAAATGTTTTCTAGTTGATTGATTCTTGAGGCACGTGTGACACATTGATGCATGCGGTACACACAGGTAACACACTGACTGTTATTATTTTAAATGCTGATTAAATGTAGCCGCAGAGTTTTTGTTTTTTATTTGGTAGCCTATTTCGGTCGTTGCTGCGACTAACACGGTCCTTTGATGTTCTCCTTCACAACATACCAGTTTGGTTACTGAGACGTAATCATCACGTTCTTGCGACATACCTCTATAACGTCGCCGCGACGATTATGGGAATCACAAAGTTACGTCGCTGGAACGTTATGTGGTACGTCGCTGCGACTAATACGGTCCCTTGATGTTACGTCCTCACAACATACCAGTTTGGTCATTGAGACGTAATCATCACGTTCCTGCGACGTATCAATATAACGTCGCCACGACGATTATGGGAATCACAAAGTTACGTCGCTGGAACGTTATGTGGTACGTCGCTGCGACGAATATGATCTGGTCCGGTTACGTCTTCACAACGTAACTGTGTTAGCTGGGAAGCTACTTGTCATAAAAAGAATTAGGGTCCTGGACTTATTAGAATGAAACGCATCCAAACTGGATAAAGAGGCCTCAATATTTTGCCCCTTACAAGACATAATATCATAAAAGGGAGAAAAATATAATCTACAGCAATTAATCCCACGCTTTAACTTTTTATCTTTCATTCTTCCTTTTGTGTGATTGACTGAAGTTTGGAAACTGCTGCTGTCACTTTGAAAAGCCCATCCCCCCATAGTAACAGCAGACATGGGGGTGGGGCAGTAGAGCTGTGGAAAGATTGCTCTCTCATCTCCTCCTTTTGACAGATTTAATCACTATCAAATTAAGGCCTACTGGACAGTGTCAGTATATGTTAGTGAAAGGGTTTTAGGTAGGATCTTATGAAAGAAAAAAAAAACACTAAAAAAAGACCAATAACCTTGATTTACTAACCTATTAACACAGTATACCCCATTTCCCCATGATATGTACTTACAAGGCATTTGCCCACCGGCAACTATAGTTGCCGCTTAGACTTTTGACTGAGTGTATAAAAAACTATAGATCTATTGTAAGATTTGTTTTGTTTGGAACACTCTAGAGACCTTCATGATTATGTAGATATATAAATGTCAACCAAAAATACTTGTTAGTAAAATAAAAAATACCTTTCTTTGGGAGGGTTTGCCTTCGCCATGTTTCTTGGAAGAAGAGGTAAGAAGTTGACAACCTCATGTGACTGGAAGTAAGTAAATACCTTTTTTCTTTTTTTTTAAATCCTTTATGTGGTTGTTAGCTTGCATGTCATTGAGAAATAAGGCATGGATAACATCTAAAAAAAATTCTTAAAGGGGGGGTTGACTGCGATTTCACTTTTTTTCATTTTAAATAGTGTGTAATGTTGCTGTTGGTGCATGAACAGTATCTGCAAAGTTGCAGCGCTGAAAGTTCAGTGTAAGCAGAGATATCGTCTTTTAAAAATCAGGAAGTATATTGCCTACAAAAACGACTGGATTGGGACTACAGCTGGGTTATGGTACGTCACTAACCCTCACATTTGCATCAACCACTCCCTCCGGAGCAGAGCCGATCCGCCCTATACGCTCACTACGCAAGCTGCGTAGGGCCCCGCAAATTACTCAAGGCCCCGCCTCCCCCTCCTCGTGTCATAGCGCGTCAATTAATGTTGACAAAATGAAGCGAAACTATCCCTCTGGTCACGATAAGAGGAAGAAGAAAAAACATGAGACTGAATTGCGGGAACAACATTCAGGTAAACTTATGTTCTCTCCTCTCCAAGTTTGATGTCAGTCAGCAAAGTAAAGTTAAGTTTATGTGCATTTCTATTGTGTTTTTTCGGTCTTGCTAACCTAGCTGGGCAGACAGGCAGTGCATCTCTTGCATCACTTCTCTTTGTGCCTGACTGACAAAAGTGAGAGTAAAATACAATTATTTATTATGCTTGTTTTTGATAAACAACAAAGTGCAAGTTGTGCAACAGTGTTTGTTTACTGCAGCTCGAAAAAGATAACCACGTCGCGTGTGTTAGGCTATCATGTGTTCTTTCATATGCGCGTGCACGAAATGAAACGCACATTTTTTCAAGCAGAAATATATGTGGACGTACTGTACAATATATGGGCGGGAAATGATGGCACTCCACTCCTCATCAAAGTACACATACATACTTTTAAAACAAGACACTGATTATCTAGTCTCAGTCAATGTGTTGTTAAACATTCCATGCAAGATGGAAAGCAATATTGACAATTTGACATTGATTGACTATTGAGATATAGGCTATTGAATTTAAAATGTTGATTAGCTGGACATACTGGTCAATATGGATGCACATCCCTCAGTAAATAATAACCATAAATCAAGAATTGCTTCATGCATAATAAAAAAAAATGCTATGGCAAGCCATTTTAGCTTTTATTCATTCACAGTTTATGTATTTTTGATATCAAGAATTAATTTTTTTAAAACTATTTGCTATGTGAATTCTTGATTATTTTTTACTACTAAGGCCCTTAGTTACATTTTTATCTACCAATGTCTATTTTTGATATCAGGAATTACATGTTCACTTGTACAAATGTTAATTCTTGATATCAATGATGTCATCACTCACAGGGATTATTGATATCTGCATCACTAGTTCACTAGTTAAATATTACAAGAGCCAAGCCATAGTATAAATAGTATTTTAACTTTTGAAAATGTATAAAAGGAAATTGGGAGCCAGTTTGAATGGGTCTGATGAAGCTTATAAAATGAGTTATCTATAATTTGCAGGTGCTATGCTTAAGTTTGTCAGTAGAGGAGATACTGGATCATCAGCCAGTACAAGCACAGATTCAGTTGATACACATCCAGCCTCAGCCAGTACTAGCTCAGACCCAGTACAGTCAGCTTCAGCAAATACAGCACAGCCGTCTTCAGCAAGTACTAACACAAGACCCAGGTGAGTGAAGTACAGGCAATCTCAGCCAGTACTAGCACAAACCCAATACAGCCGTCTTCAGCAAGTACTAACACAGTGACCGGCCCAGGTGAAGTACAGGCAGCCTCATCCAGTACTAATGTAGCCGGCGCGCTCTGTACCTCGCCGACTACTGCGTTGTGTTCCGGTGCACTGAAGACAGGACACTGACGTTCTTCAAACAGATTTATTCTGCACAATTTCAAAGAGAGCAAAGAATCAGGATTCTCATTTTCGTCAGAATCAGCCTCTCTCAGTCAAGTGAAATGCAGACTGAGAAAACAACGCGAAAATTCAGCATATGACCACAACTCTAGCCTCTCTCCAATAGAGGGCGCACTTACACGACTCTTAACTCTCCCAATACCTATAAGCCACCATTAACTCAATGA